ATAGACTAGTTGCGGATACTGAAAACGTTGTATAATTCCCTAAAAGTCTACAAGCCAAAGCGACATCTATTTCTACTTTTTGTACATATGTAACGCAGATTATATCCCGGATATTTTGATTCTTACTTATTATCCTTCAATTTTTACTATAAGAATAACCGGTATAGACTTCGTCATGAATAAATTTTGTAGCTGAGCGAGTAACAAAACACTAAACAAACGCGATACTGGGGAACGGTTTAACGGATTTAAAACGTAAAAGATAAAGACATTGTCAGAAAAAATTAAAGATACTGGAGCATCTAACAACGACGTTGCTGAGGTAAAAAGGAACTAAAATTTCAATAACTGTGAAGAAGTTGACAGGATAGATTTTGTACAAACCGAAATATAAATCCAGAGGAGCTTCCGTAGATATTATTGATCACAACGCCCATGCATAGACTAATACAGTAGCAATATTTACAAGAGATAGAACGGTTAAATTGTACTCGATGCTATTGGTGACATCAGAAAAAGTGACCCTGTATCTGCTTGGTTGTTTTAGAGTTCGGAATGTGGTCATTATGATCAGTTTGTACGGTCTAATGGTAATATTTATCATACAGAATCTCTTTATGAAGAAATAGAAAACCTTGCGCTGAAATATACTTCTGACTATGTCAAAGTTAGATAATTACTAAGTAACTGTTTTACCTACCATCGGTTGCTGCTCATTTTGCTCAGGACAAAAACTCATAGAAACCGACATGATTTTAATTTCTTGAAGATATCGTGAGGAGTTGCATCAAATACGGTCATGGTTGATTATTAAATACTAACTATGATTACAACAACGTCATCTCAGTTGATATGGTAGCGTTTTATCCTGGAAGTTTTCTAGGGTATGGAGATTGTTTTAAATACTTCAAGAGATTTGGACATCCTACACATGACATGACCAGGGTTGGGATAAATGGAACCTTACCAGATTTTGACTTAACCGGATTCGCCAGCATAGTCTTTTGAGTTATACTCGGATCTCCATCCAATTGTTTATGCGTGGTTTTGAAGATATTTTGCAGAAAAATATTGGAGTCCAATGGTACTATTGCGGTATATACTTGATGCTGGAAATTTAGAATCGTTGAAAGTAACTGAAGCAATTATATCATACCGCGTGCAGAAACAAGTTTGGTTGCCAGAATCTATTGTATCTGATGATAATCATGATCTTGTTAAACACGATGAGAAACTTACAAGATCTCGGCAGAAAAATAATCAGTAAATTTACACAAAGAGGATCACATGATCATAAACGAGCGTGTACAAGATTGATTTTGGACGTTGCTAACTCAGTTTTATAATCGCTGATATGATGGTGTAAAAAAAACATTTATAAGCCGATGTAATGCTTATTTATCAAACGAAACAAAATTAGGTACCATTGTAAGCTATACTGAAGGCGAGTCATCGCAGTTTACTCATTTAAGATCTTCGGTGCAACATATGTTTCGATAAATATATTATCGATGATAAGCAGATTTCCTCGTTACGATGTAAGAGTTGCGGCAGATTAATTTTATATCATCAAGAAGCACGCTGATTCGCTAAAACCAATACTCGGTAATGGTGAATCTGGAAAGTGGAGGACAAAACATGAATATATACTTAGTCATTCTGAATTTGTCGATGTTGAAATTGTGGAGACATACTTAAAAAATAATCAAGTATCAAAATCTGCACCATCAGTGTATGATCCTGTGGCTAGACATAAGACTGTTTATCTTAATGGATGTGGAGGTTCAGGTAAAACAACACACGCGATTAACTTATTTAGTAATAGTTCAGATATGATTGTTTTAACACCGACGCACAAACTCGCCAGGGAAATAAAACAACGAGGTATAAATCCTGTACATATCATAGTTTCTTTAGATGGTGTGGAGATGCATGGACTCCATCACGAATAGGTGCAAAATATATTCCTAAAACTATTATCTGGGAAGAGATATGAACGGTGTCGCTGAAGGTATTACAAATATTTCTTGATTGGCTGCTACTAAAAAATAATGCTATAATAATGTATGGCGATCATGGTCAACCGCCGGCCACCCTTTACAGGATCGTCTCCACACAAGTGGCTAAAAACATTTGTAGATTATTACGAGGAAATATCTGATGACCATAGAGATATTGTTGAACCGTTTAAAGAATTTAAAAGATTAATACTACTACAACCAGATAAAATACAGTGTGAAATAATTCATAAAGTAATTCCGGAAACGTCCATGAATAATTTTTTGACATAAGGGAAACCTGCTGATTTGATAGTTGCGAGTAGAAAAATAGTTCGTGATGAACTGCAAAAGAAACTATTTACGTTACATAAGGAAAAATTCCCAACCTTACCTGTGCCGCTGTGTTATCGCCCAGCAGATACTAGACAACAAAATGTTGATGTTGATATTCCTGGAAAAGATAATGTCCGAATACAAAATCTTGTGTTAAATTATATTGTTTTAGTCGCTGTAATGATGTTGAGAGCGCATTAAACATGGATAAATCACCGTGGACGTTAGGATACGCTATAAAGATTCATTAGTCGCAGGGTTAACTATTGCTGATACTAGCATTTGGATCGTCAATGGTCGTATTGAGTGGTCAAATTTAGTTTATCTCGCAGTGTCTCGAATCAGAAGAATATCTCAACTGAAGTGGGTTATCATTGATTGCGTAATAACCGAAGAAATTACCAACAAAGCCGATATCAATAAAAATTAGCCAGCTATAAAGTGACCAAAAAATGATCGCGATTTTTATATAGATGCTTAATTTATTATAGCGCTAAAACAACAAAATAATCATTCCGCAAGTTGTAACGCAATAATGTTGTGGCAGTATACGAGCAATAACCCATGACAATTAATCGTTGATAGAATTAATAGTAGTCTTGGTCACATGCGAAAAGGTGATGCTGTCCTGTTTGGAGTGTAATATACGTCGGAGAAGGGTGCAAGTTTATAAAAATGTGCTTGGTAGTAATTGCGTATCCGCAGGGAATTATTTGTAATTGTTCGCGTACAAATCCGCACTGGCGAGCATGTGAATCTAATCTATAGATTGTGTCTACGTGTGGACCTTACCACGCTGGAAATTTAGTGTGTGGTCACACTCCAAAAAGGATCAATTGCTCTTGATCTACCTCCTTCAAGTTCACAAACTTCATATAAATATCTAACTGTAACATTACCAAGTACTGGTTGAGAAGATTCACGTTTTATCGGCATATAGTTTTTGTGATTGCATTAGATGGTTTCATAGAAGTTGCACGAGTAAGTTCCTTATTCAACGCAGCTATCACACTTGGTAACCTCGCAAACCATTCACGAGATCTATCCTTTGTCTAGAAGTCAGTGGATATTTCCTTTGCATATTGATACCCGAATAACCGTTCAGCAAGTGGTCGATTAAATCGTTCAATGATTGCCTAATCACGATGAATTTACGTATGTCCTCGTCTGATTTTAACGTTGAGCTTGTTCATCAACGATGATACTGCTCCAAGAAATTCTTTGCCAGTATCAACCTGTAATAGTTTTGGCCATCATAGACCACCATGTGGTCCGGATCCTCGCTGATAAATTCGTTCAAACGCAGATGCAACTTTAGATGCTGATTTTGTTGATAACGGCTCCTCTTCTTTATATCTACTCGCAACGTCAACGACAGTTAATGCGTATCTGTGTGTTGAAGTCTGCCAATTTTAATGGTTGGTAAAACCAAGATATCCACTTGATGGACTTCGTTAGGTACACTGACATCGAAATGTGCTTCTTGAATTTTTTTTAGGTGGATTTAGAAAGATTTGTCATATTGCCTGTCGTGCTAACCACGCTGCAACATCACGTGAAACTTTTGCTGAAGCAGCAAGTTTGCTAAATCTTACGTATCCAATACCCTCTCGGGAAATAATAAAGATTCCATTATAATAATCAGTAGATTAATTACCAGCCCATACCATTATTTTACCTTTCATTGCTGAGTTTACTAGGAAGTTAGCGGGAGATTCTCTGAGAGATTTATTAGGTATAGAATTTTACGTGTGAATCAACTTTACATCTGCGAGATTCTGTTGTTGCAAATCTGACACACTTGATCAATCTTATTTACTGGAATCTGTCCATGTTTTGAATGATCTTGGTTATCAAGTCTGATGTCGAGACAAATTCCAGGACAACAAAAATTATATTTCTGAAGGTGTTTCTCGCCGAGGTATTTAGCCCATGGAGCTCCTGGCAATGTCCCTAATGAAGCAGCAATATCACCACCATGCGCTATCTGTGATGCGGAAATAAATTTATATTTGCTTGTACCACATTTTACACATTTACCTGTAATTGCGTGTCTCATATTTTATTATTGTTGTCAATCCAACAGTATGGGTTGATGCTCTACATCGAACATAATATAAACTCATATTATTATTATATGAATATAATTGACTTTTCAGCGACACGAAAACAAGAGCCAGTAAGGCACCATCCAACGTTACCAAATACTATCAAAATGATTATAATAGGTCTGTCCAGAAGTGGGTAGACGCAATTACTGCTTAATCGGATAATGAGATGGCTTAAATAGAATAAATTGTATTTAGTGAAGTCATCGACTTTATTACTGATATTGATGAAGTTCCATCTGTAGATGATCTAGATGGAAGTATTAATAACATCGTCAGCTAGACAAACAATCCAATCCAGCTAGTATATTTTTTAGAGGCAGGCATAAAAATACAGATATGATTTATTTTACACAGCATTATACACAAATTCCAAAAGCGATCAGGGATAACTTTAACATTTTAGTTGTGTTCAGCAAAGTTGATAATATGTAGCATGATGTCCCACCCAGTTACATTATCCTGACACCAGGCTGGCCAGTCCTAACACTAACTTCTTAATGCAATGCTTAACGCCAAGCGAGGCAGCTGTTAATAGCATTTTTGTAAGTCTTTGGTATGACTTGGCCAGGGATAGAACCCACGACCTCCTGCATCCGTGGCAGACACTCAAACCACTAGGCCACCAGAGCTTTTCTACTGATTATTCCTAACAAAGTGTATAGACCCTAACCTGCCAGCACATTAAGCATGGGTAGATATGGGTCTGGATGGTTTGCAGTTGGATTTGACTTTTAAGGGAGTATATATGGAACTACAAATACACAAACACAATTTAAAGAAACAAAAACGCTAAATTCATGACTCATTTGTTATCAAGCCTGCCTTTTTATTTAGCAAGAAAGTTTAAAAAAAATAACACTGAACCTAATATGAAAAACTCTAACAAGGACCAACAAACAAAGTATTTTATCCAATTTCTGGAGGCATGCTGCATTTGAACAAAGGCTAAATTTGTTTATCACATAATCCATGCTTATTAGGGTGGTGAATTTGATCTCGGTAGAATTTAAAGAAAGATTTTTGAGAAACAATGCTGGTAACAAACTTAAAAAAAATTTCAAAAGCTTGCCTTTTTTTAAAACCCAAAGAAAATATTTTAAATAGTATTCCCAATAAACTTTTTCCCATCTGACAAGTTTTACTAATGAAGAACTGAAATGTTCTCATTTATATTATTTTTTAAACAAGGAGAACAAATAATAACATGAAGTAATTAATTTCTCTGCAGTTCTAGTAGTTGTATGAAACAAGACTAGAAATATATCCAAAAATGCAGATGCCTTATGTATTTCTATCATTATTTAAAGTATGACTTGGTAATGATATGTAATTATTTGATAATGCATAATAACAACCATCAGCTAATGTACAAAAGGGTTAAATACATAGTAGCAAATAGTTACATACATATGTATTTTATGAATGCCATATTTTAAATCTTTTCTTACTTAAATGGGCTACAAATGTGGTATGAAGCTGTGCAAGAAAGACAAGAGCAAGAATCTGTTTAAACATTCATTAATGAACTTTGAATAATAAACATGTAAATAATGCCTAAAAAAAAGGTAAAATAGTTGCTTAACGAACCAAGTGTAATACATAAAAAATAGCCCATGTGTTAAATAGGGATTACACTTAACTTTTCACACACATTTATGACAGCAGATGTAAGGAAAGCCTGCTTTATAATGCATGGTGACAACTGTTTTTGAAGTATTGCAAAAGCAATGCATGTTTTAATTAAATACATTAACACACAAAACAAAAATGTCAAATTGTAACATTATACAAAGTTGAATGTTTTTGATAAGACAATGTTACACAACTTAAGCTGTATTGGCTGGCCAATGTATAGGCCTCTGATGTTATCACACAAAGATGCAGCTAGATTTGGGGCCATACAAACTAACCTAGGTCCAATAACAAAGGAAAATATTCATATTGCAACATAATACTCTCAAATAATGCAAGGAAGTAAATTTTGGGACAGAAACTTTTCATAATGATTATAATTTACTATCAGACAGGTTGGTATATGATGAAACCTACTTTTGCTAATACTCTATGGCAGTGTCAAACAGGTCAATATGATATGAAAATTAAAACTGCTAAAAACCCTATCTAATACAGCATTATTGAAACAGCAGTTTTTAACTGAAAAAGATATATCTCAAGCACTTTTTAATCAGTACAAGTTAATATTTAACTGAGAGACACTGAAATGCAAATAAGTGGGACATGCGTCTCACAGGGGCACCCAATGAACAATCTGCAATGGATCAGTGGAACATATATATCTCACATGCAACCCTTGCACAATCTGCATGGGTTCAGAGAAACATATATCTCACAGGCAACACATGCATTTAATGTATCTTACTGCATCTAATTTGGAAAAAAATTAACACAAATCTTTGCCATGTACTCTTGCTTATAAGATGAGTCAACTGCAAACTGCACAGACCTAAATCTCCCAATCCATTATGCAGATCAGGGTCTGTGCAGTTTATTAAGAAAAATCAGTAGAACAAAAAGCATAGACCCAGATCTGCATGAACATTTATTTTATGGCAGATCAGGATCTTTGTTGTTTGTAGTTAGATGCAAAGTATAAGCTTGTATAAACAGTAAATAAAATTTTGATATTGACACTGCCTATACTCAGCTGCCAGAAAAGTAATATCGATGTTTCACCATCCTTAAAAAGATAAGACAATCATAGTGTAGATTTGTGGAGATATATCAATGGTCTACACACAGGCATATCACAGGATCCCAGTTGAATACAAACTAGTTTTCTAAACTTATCTTATACTTCTATTTTAGATTCAAATATCATCACATAGCAGATTTACAATAGTATAAAAGTCTGCAACAATTTAATAGTTTATAGATATTAGTATATATGTATTTTTTATATATTTGTATATATGTACATATATGTACACAAACATAAATAATGCAAAAGAAGATTATAATCAACAAAATATACAAAGAATCAATATAAATGGAAAATTAAATTATGTAACCTTTTCTCTTTTAAACAGTCATGAATAAGCTCTGAAATTTTCTGAAGCTGACAAAATCAATTTACAAGAAAAAAAATGTTGCACTTTTATTGTTTCCCATTGTACAAGTACAAACCAGCTGCTACGGTTTTTTTAAAGAATAAAATTAAAGTATTTTCTGTGTAATTAAACAATTAACATCTGCCAAGTTCTTATTAGTTTGGCATCAATAATATTATCATCTGACAGATCAGCTGTGAAAATTTAGATGACAAAAATGGAAAATTTTGAAGCCAGATTTTATTTGTCTTATCTTTCTGTTCACATTCTTGTACATATTATCCACTAAAAATGTGAAGTATGTTATAAAACCTATGTATAAAACAGGGCTCCCATGCTTTTCTAAAGATAAATTTCCAGGTCATTTCCATGGTTTTCCAGGATAAAATTAATTTTTTCAAGGTTAACATATGACCATAAGTGAAAGGAATTTAAATACATTGTAGATCATAAAATATTCATTTTCTAAATCTAAATATGATTCTCTTTCAAGACTTTCCAAAGCATAGAAGTAAAAAACGATGATCATGTACAAAACCAAAAACATATCACATGAAACAAGTTGGTCTATATTCCTATAATTTGGCATGTAAAGTCATTTCAATGCACAGAATACAATTTCTGGCCTTACTTTGCTGACCTGCATTATTTTGCTATGTGGAAACAACATAATGAAGGTAAATTAGTTTTGTTTCCTTTCAAACCTTTAATTCTAAAGAATTTTATAGCAATATATATGCATATTATATGAACTAAACATTTCCTATCACAGTATGCAATTGTCCCCAAAAAATACAACAGTTTAGCAGAGTACAGTGAAACCTGACTTGAAAAACCACTGCTATGTGAGACCAACTGTCTTGACAGACCATATTCTCAATGCAAACATTTATTGATATAGCATTTTGACTTGTTATGAGACCACCTGCCTTGAGACCATACTTTTTTGGCATAAAGGATGGTCTTTCAAGACAGATTCTACTGTATTAGAATCTTATCTTGTAGCTTAAAAAGTTTAACCCTGAACTTGTGTGCCAACAAAACCCAAAGAAGATTTTTTAAAATGACCTACACTCCTAAGACAATCTGATTAAAAATCCATCAATAAATTTTTTTACAAAATTCAAAATTATACATTGATGTATAAACAAGGACTGGATTTTCTGTAAAATCAACTTATCTTCTTGTGATTCAATAAACCAGTCCCCAAACCTGTATCATTTTTCAAAATGAAAAAGAACAAGGGATGACAATTTCTCATATCTCCTGCAATCTATTCAAGATCTGAGACCAAAGTTTCAAGGTACATTTCACTGTGTAATAGTTTCATACCGAAGTTCAACTCAAGATATTTGACATTTTTGGACAATAAATTTAGAATAAAACAAATAGAAGTCCATTTTCTAATCCAGGTTTCCTCCAAATATTCCACCTCATTTTTCACAGTCTGACATTTAGGTTAGGGTGTGGGGTCAGAACAAATGCATATAAAAAGTTAGAATTTTTTGCTACCATGTGGTAGTGGCATATGGTAGTCACTTACCAGCAGGCCAAGCAAATTTAAATGCTATAAATGTACCTGCATGAAATCGATAGGAAAATGATTTATTTTCTCAGAAATTGAAAGTCCTATATTCCTTATGTCTTTTAATCTGCTAATAGACCAGACTCAGTTAAAGCATAGATGAAACCTGGCCCTGTACTCACCATTTTCATTAATCTAGTCAAATGACTTTACAAATCTCAAACTACATCGGAAGTCCAATAGCAATGTGATATCAATAACAAACTCCATTTTAATGCTGTTGTACAAAATTTAAATTATATTAAATGAAAGTCAGATACCTTTTGTAAAAACAAGAACATATAATTCTCAATGAATTTATTTTGAGAACAAGAAACCTGTTGCTGTCTCATCAATCTGGCCAATAGGATTTTTCAACCTATCATGTGATCACCAATCACATTCATCAATCATATGTTACAACAAAACACAGTAGTTGTTCACGAAATGTAAAAAATTTTGTTCTTTAATTTTTGTGATTTTATTACAACCAGTATACAACTTTTATTTAATGTTTTATTTTTTTCTATAACATTTGAAAACGTGGGTTTTGAGATTTGTGTAATTGTAAGAGCAATGCAAATCTGACTACCAGGTCAAATTTCATGAATGTCGTAATTTTGTCATGTCTTTCAGCAGATTGAAAACATAGTGACTTTAATGCTCTATTTCTGAGAAAATCAATAATTTTCATATCTATTTTAAGCAAGTATGACTGAATGTAACAAAGAATTTAACAAAGACATTCTAGTAATCAGCTAATCTTCACCGCCATCATGTGTGCCACTTGTGATGCTAGACTGGTTTTTAAACAAACCGTCCAAGTAAAGAAATATAAATATCAAGCATTCTGTTTGAAAAATATATGTTAGATGAATCTGATGTACTAATTCAACACATATACGGCAAGACCCACACTCCAAATATTCTAGTCAGAACTCCATAAATTTAAGTCTGGATCAGCTCAGTTGCAACTTAATTACCTAACTGTATCAGGT